AGCATTACACACACTTTGCTGCCTGAAATTTTTACAGAAACACTGGATCTGATCAATTTATAATAAACTTATGATAGTCCTTATCCCTGTGTTGTAATGAAAGCTTGATGGAGAAGCCCTAATATGCCGATGGCTATTCAGCATCTGGTTAGTGTGAAGTGAGGTAGCTGCTACTTTCGTTCACATGAATTTCACGTCCCACGAATAGTGGCAGGAATTGGTTCATACTCAGGGCGTCTCTTAATAATCATGACCATTAATGTGGTATATAAAGGCAATTACGATTGTTGCAACACAACTCACCAACTACCGCGGCGTGCTTGTTGATGGTGCACAGCATTCAAGTACAGAAATGGCCAACTGCAATGAGTTAGGGTGCACATTGAATTTTAGGAGCATTACTTGTGGTTGACTCAAACAGGAAGGCGAAGTGGGACGCGTCACCCCATAAGCTTTACGCCTAAGTGATGACTCGGCGACAGTAAGCAGGTGCCGTGTGACGGAAATCAGCATCCAAAGAATAGTTAGCTTGCTTTGCCTGCTGCTTTAATTGACTGCATGTGCCTGAGTAGGTCTCTTCAGCTGTTGTGACGGAAAATTCATCTGAAAATCCCTCCCGATCACCCTTATTTGATTGTATTGACATTTATTTTGACATTTTTACCCTCGTTATGGATGGTGTACCTTTGACCCTAGCCGGTGTAACGTTATTTGCTTGGTTAACTGTCTTATTTGACTTTGCACTCGGTGTTTGCCTTTGTATGTTTGAGGCTTATCATGAATGTTTCACTTTCCTGTTATGTGACACCGGACTGTTGGCAAGGTGATGTTGTTTTACTGCGCCCGACATTTTGTTTTGGTTCAACTTACGGTTGTGCAGTGATTTGACTATTTGTCTTTTGACTGTCTACTGGGGACGTTTGTTTGTTGATTTGATTCCTGTAGGCAGAGTTTTGATCCCTTTTGTCCGGAATATTCCTATTGACCGACAGGTACTTAACAGTTGTATTTGTTTAACCAGTTTTTGCCGTGTATTACGTATTTGTACCCGGAAACGTTTTGGACTGTATAGTTGCCCGACGGCACTGTTGGGGTATTTTTGTAGTTTTGACATAACTTATTGTTGCTTTGATAGTACCACAGATTTTGTTACGAATCTACTGTTGAATTACTACAAACCGTGTTTTGATATTTTGATCCAACCTTTGACTGTGCGTCACTCGTGGAAGTTAGGAAGCTATACAGTAGAACGCAGGAACTAATCAGATTCACGTCAGGTGGCACCGCCTAGTTATTTGCCGCGTTCAGGCCAAGATTATTGGATTCTGGCCGCTACAGCTGTTTCGTCCTGATCCCTTAAATACTAGGTGCCCCTGAGAAAAATTACATGCTGCGCTTGGCAAAAGAATTCGCATAGTTGTGCCTACGAACTAAGGGGTATAGTGATCAATAACAATGCAACAGTAGGTTTACGTTGCACGACGGGAAGCTATGGGTGCAAGGAATTCATTTGGATTGAGGCTTTCTTTACTCGTACCGATTCCATCTTGTTAATTATCATCAATACAAGTCGGCTACCTTCACAGCGTCATTCGACATCACAAATCACGCGACGCCTACTAAAGTACACGTGCCCGGGCATAGGATTCTCATACATATGTCCTTTCGCACTGCAGCGAACGCATACAGGGACTCGTCGTCATAGTACGTACCAGTGGAACCATACACGGTCTCCTGCCTAATGAAGTGACAAACACCAACCCCCTTTATTACGCGTTTTGCGAATCCGCCGTTAGCTCCGCTTCGCAAGGGAGAACATCGACGTGCCAGGTGATACGTCAGAATATTCTAACTAAGTCCAATAATGACAGCGTTTAAGAAATCGGTGAGCTACTACATCCAGATAAGTAATTAAGAAGTGCGAGACAAATGTGAAAGCGAGCCCCTTAAAAAGTGCCATGGGGGTGTGTCTACGTGGATGAGTGTTCTGCAGGTTCATTCACAATACTAAAGATCAAACTCCACTGTGTGTTCATCTTCCCCGAAAAACACAGTGGCACGTTTCAAACTTTGTGTAGGTGTTTTGTTTGTCCTTCTGAAACCCCTTATTTAACAAAATGCGAAGGGTGTAAACCGGTTAAGCAGGGGAAGTAAACGTCCGTAGTGGACGTATTCGTAACATTTTGTCCTCATTATAGCAGCCTCTGTATTCTTTCCGCGGAAACTTCGCACGTTCCAGTGCTATGCTCTTCTGCAAGGCATCCGGGCTTCTCGGACATCTTTCCATGTGCTTGTGAAAATTTTACAAAAGATTATTCTCATTATTTTCGCATGTATCTGCTCACTGAATGCTGCAGACCAAAAATATCTCCTGTTCACCCAGTGGAAGGTAGAATATTCACCCAAGTTCCTGAATAATCTGCAGATGATTCTTGAATACCGAAGGGAAACTGAAAAACTGCAATATAACGGGTTTTATTGCCCCTGGTATTTGCATGAATCCGAACGACATAAGTATGCTCTTTGCTGGGCTGCTTAAATCTTGGGCCACTAAATAAACTTTCCACCCATTATATTCCATCAACTTATCGCCTTGTAGTTTGTTTTAATCTTTCAAATGTATTCAGAATGCACCGCGCACTCCCGCATGTTTTTAAGATATTTTCGAACTTTCGTTTCTCAGGCAAAAAAAGAAACGGAGGGAAACTCTTCCGCCGGTTGGAAATGGATTCGCAAACGCTCAGAAACACACCACATTACTATTTATAGGTTACCCGCATGGGTTGTGGATTTTCGGCTGGCTGACTGAACTGCCAACATCGAAATTACACTCGATTTTGTTTTGATATCCTAGTCGAGAACGGATGCTGATGAAACACCAGCTTCTTCTTTCGCACTTATTCTTTCAATACTGTTATTATTAACACTACGTGGACAAAATAATTAGTTCTTTTAAAAATATTGTAGAGAAAGGGGATGTTGCTGAAACACTCCATGCCAAAAATACTTACTGTATCACACATACTGTTTAGAGTAAAGGGGTTATTATTATTATCGCAACCTTTACATCCCTCATCTGAAAGCTACACCAGTAGTACACGTCTCTTCAACTAAACGTTTTGTACAAGGGACACTGAATGTGCAATGTACGACACTTCGTTGCCGGTGGGCTGCTCTTACGAGTGATGTCTCAGCCCGTGCACAATCCATCATTAACACCCACATCTTCTTTCATCCATCATACTGTCCGAGGAACAGTCGAGGGTCTACATATCTCTTTCAAAATCTTTTCTTGTCCCTATAAACTTTATACGACCCCTAAGACAGAAATCACCAATAAAGACGACTTGGAACATTTGATATTCACCTTACAAGTCAAAATGCGAAAAATTGGCTTCCTCTGAACTGTAAGTGGAGTCTGTTCCGACGACTACCGGGTGCTTTCAGTACGGCTCTTTCAACTATTTAGCACAAAAGAGGACTTTCAACAATACCATCCGACTGTCTCTCCATTCAACTTCCTCTTTTGTCTCAGGAAGTAGAATACCTAAGACAGTGTGCACGCAAAACCATACTGTATGCACTTTGACCCCATAATTTTAACATATTTTGCTGACATGAACCTATTCGCCTTATCCCTGACATTTTGGACTCCTTCATATGCAGGTGGTGGCGGCCATAAAGGTGATTTTAGGCTCTCCTACTATTTCCCTGTTAATCGCATGCTTCATGCGTCACGCTATAAGCGACTGTCCATAAACATGATTGTACACCATTTCTCAATATTGAACAACATATGCCCCTAGGTTCGGTGCAGTTCAAAATGTTGATTAGGAGTTTCTTATTTTTAACCCGAGAATATCCTAGCAAGCAGGAGGAGTTACAATTTTTGAACGAAAACAGTACCTTCGGTTCACCGTGATAGTGCATTCAAGTGCGACAACGACTGTCACTCCTTCGTCTGTTTGTCGTAAAATGTATCTGTCACACACGTTTTAGCCCACTAGCTGCATCCTCCACCGCTTCCGAGCTGAAGAATGACCTCAACAGCACCACTACCTGGAAAGGCTGAATTTTGTTGACTAATTTGGTATAGACTGAGAGGTTTGAGATTTGATGCTTAAAAACTGTTTAGTCAGTAACTGACAATGACATGGATATCCAACAGCGAGCATAATGTGGCAGAATTATTACACTAAGAATTCTGAATGGCATCAAAATTGTTCGCAACAAGGTCATTATTATTAGTGTCAATACTGATTGTTATTATGCATAGCCAGTTCATAGAACCTCGTACAATCCATTGAAGTGTAGGGAACAACGGCCCATAGCCATCATCAGTTTAATTATTATGCAGTGGTTGACGCCTCGAACAACAATATTACAGTCTGTCCAGGAACGAATACAAAAGACAGCAGTTAGTTCCTTCCAGGGATGGGATGGTGGTAATTGTGGCTTTTTAGGCTACAACAGCTGCTATTCACTGCAACGTATCAGGTTAACTGAGGTGCATCAGCTACAGCAGTCATCTTAACGGTAAGTAACGTAAAAAAGCCACATCTAATTTAATCACTCAAGGTGGACAGAAAGGAAAGTAAGCCATATTCATTGGAGGATGTCTTATTTTTTTACTCTGGAATAAGTCACTTCAGCCCCTCTAGGCAGGTTTTGAAAGGGGTTTTTATTCGGATTGTGCTCTCCATTCTAGTTAAGATTGAACACTCGTTTGTTTAGAATGGCTAAATATGTTCATTTCGGTGTGTATTAATTCAAATTATTTTCAGGTTCCCGACACACCTGTGATATTTTCTTTGTGCCGTGGATATGGTGAGTTTTAATCACTTATGGTCACGTTCTGTTTCCTAAGAAAAAAGAATCTGAAAGCACTTTTTTTTGGATGTATTGCTATTAGTGGCGCGGTTTTGATACATTTTACCTTCGGATACTTTTATACAGTAGGTACGTTGCCACTATTGTCTATTTAAACACGTTCAGCCAATATGGTTCCTTATATTATGGGCTACGTGCAGACTTTGGTAGACCCTACTCTTCCCAATCAAGCCTCTATATGGTTGTCAGCCGTTGCTCTAGGAGCTCAAGGAATTTCAATGCCTGTTGGTGGAATGATTGCCAGTATACTAGGATTCAGATTAGTGGTTGCAGTGAGTTGCCTTGCGACAAGGTGTGTATCTTGAATTTTGATCGAATTTTGCACATTAACATTTTTACACTTGACATAATGGGATTATTGATTAAATAAGGATTAGCTCTGAAAAATAAATGTCATAAATAAACTGCTACTTGAAATCACCCTACATAATGGGTAGTTTTTGTGTTGACTACCTTTGAGTTGAGTTTAATTCACCTTACTAGTTGATCTACTCGTTGATAATCTGCTTCCCGATATTTGTGGTCCCTCCGTTATTTTACGTATGAACACGTCAACAAAGAACATATTCCACTTAAGTGTGAGATTCTAAAGATAAGCTACCAATAAGAAAGTTGGCGATTTATAGCGCTGTGGTTATTCCTTAAGTGCTGTATGTTTTTAGGTTGCTTCAGGAGATGCTTTAGCCTGGTGAGTACGAGAAGAACTTATGTCATTCAAAATCACTGTATAAAGTCGTTTGTGATACAGTTGGGTAAAAGGCTCTATTTTAAATGTCGTCTCAGTGATTTTGCACTTGACATCCTCCGAATAGTATGTCCAGTTGTTGTGTGAAGACTCTGGGGGGGTTGATTCAGTCCTAGTAAGTGGATTGGTGTTGGCGTACGATCTAGTTTGAATTGAAACATAGCTGTCAGTTGACTGTTGAATGCTTCACTTATGATCTTAGTGAATTGTGTACCTATCGTTCACTTACTTATAGATGCAAGAAACCAAACTGAAGGATAGACAGGAGACAGTAACTCCTGTTTCTTAATTACATTTAACGAATAAGATATATTTTCAGAAAATGCTTCATGCTATTCCTACGTTTACTAATTTTTCGTAATTTACGTTCAAAACCTAGATTTATCCAACTGAATTTGAATTGCTGAACTATTGACAAGGCAAAATCACTTGTCAATAATGCTTGAATCTAGTAGTATGATAGTAGGACGAGCTATATGGGAGACAATAAACATCAGTAAACTATACTACTTCGCTGTGTAATATGCTTAAAAAAGAAATGACTTGAAGCGCCCAACGTCTACAGAACATTCCATAGTAAACCTTTGATTATCACACTTAAAGCTTTTTGGCATGCTAATTGATGGAAAGATAATTTTTTGTCTCGAACTAGGTACTTCTGGGATATGTTACCTCCGTTGGCTGTATTGCTTATGCTTATATTATACGATTCATGTTTTATTGACCATCTCATGTTGCACAGCCTTAGACCCAGCAAACACGGTCTACCAAAGGGCGTATCAACTCAGATCAAACTCATATGAATATTACCAAGTTATAAATAATAGAGAGAAGTTTTTAATTTTCCCGTTAAAAGTTTGGGAAACAAATATGTGCCTTCTTTTATCTACTAGAAGTGCAGTTTGGTTTTATTACTCCAAAATCATATTGGCAAAACATGCAGTTTTATAAAATAACTCAGGCGAAATTATGTTCAATCATTTCTGCAATGATATTTGTTTAACAGATTGCATCCCGTTATCTATTTAGCATATAAAACTAACATAACTCCATATTTTTGTCATCATTTTATACCATTCTGGTTTCCAAGTTTTTGGGAATATGAGTACTAAACTTTTTTTACTATTGTTTGTTTGTTGCTATAACGAAGTGGAATTTTCCAAAAACTGCTTGAAGTAAACTCTCTGACATTTTTACAGTGGTGGTGTCATTCTGACGTACTTCACTATTCGAAAGAGTTATGTTGGCGTGATTATAACATATGGAGTCCTGCTTGGAGGTGGTTTAGGACTTGGATACTCAGTTGTATTAGCAGCTGCATCTTCGGTAAGAAACATTATGTCCGATGATTCCCTTATGTGATGTTTTGCTCTCCAACGTGACCAAAAACAGAATATGTCGTCATAACATGCTGAAAAGTCTCTTAACTGTGGGGAAGGAGGGTTATTTTCTACAACTGTTAGAAAAGATTTTCATCAAAATACTTTCTAAGATGATACCAAACTGATGAATAAACTATCGTCGGATGGCAATGATATATATCAAGTGTCAAGAAATATCAATTTTAAAGTGACTAATCATATCCTTAAGTTGTACATTTAAAATCGATCGCATTTACCGCAAAAATTGGTGCTTACTGAGAAGCCCAACCAAGTCGTAAAACTTGGAATTTATTTCACAGCGATTGACAAGGTTTGAATGGGCTGCATAGATAAGCGACAAAAGTTTAACATAACGTTATTCCATTTTATTGTGCACTGTTTACTCAGTGTGTACTTTTTCACTTTCTAAGGAAGAAAGAATTATTAGGACAAGATCAACACAGGTTATTGTCCTAGAATATCAATCGGTTGATCGACTTGATGTTAGTAGACTTTGAAACTAGTTGCATGTTCCGCAGAAGAGATGAAAACTCAGTGTCGAAGAAGTACCTATATGGCGTAGTAAGGATGAGCTGAGAGTTAAGCGTTTAGCAGTAGTAGCTCTGAGTAAGAGGTTCCTGATTACAACGGCTTGCTTGTGTTTGTTTTATACCTTTTGTTACCTTGGTTTTAAAAGTATAAATGTTGAAACTAATCTTTAGATTCACAAAAGGATTGCATTTCTTTTTAATCTAGGAGAACACAATGCATGTAGTAGCTTGTTTGAGCAAGATTTAAGTGTATTTAGATCAGCAATACAACTTTAGGTATTCGTAAGGGGAATGGTGAGGGAAATTTCAGGGTCACTGGGAATTCTTTGAAGATGAACGAGACTTCGTTTTTATTTACATATAATTTCCCCGAAAGTGATTAAAAGTAGTACCAAGTGCCTGGTTTTGATTCAGTTGGTCAAGTGTTAACGTCGTTGCCAGTATAACCTAGTTCTGCAAAATTCTGATCTCGTATTGTAGCTACACTATTAATGACTAAAACGAAACTCAGACATAATATTATTAAAAATGAAACAAAACTGTATTAAGACAAACTTAATAAAAATTTCCAAATATTTGTTTCCTCTCAATCTACATATAAATCAGAAGTATGTTTGTTAAAAAGACATATGATTTTCATTATTTGCAGTGGTTCCCAGAACGCCGTGGTCTTGTTGTTGGGTTAGTAGTTGGGGGATTTGGACTCGGAGCACTAATTTTTACACCTATACAGACAGCACTAATAAATCCAAATAATGTGCAGGTGAACAACATTACAAGGTGAGGTGTCATGCTTTTTCCAAGGGCTCTACACATCAATTTAGGATTTATGTTTATTGCGCACATCTCGAGCACTAGGCGTTATAAAAACAATATGTTCTTATGAATTAGTTACGTATATAAATGAGACCTTATCTTGGGGTTAATGGGACATTTACTGAACACTACTGATAGAAAAGCTGTGATTAAACAGAGATGCCATGGTGGTTCAGACTATTTTCCTGGCGTAAAGATAAACAAATTATCAGATTTAAAAGTATAAATGACAAAACCAGGTGACATCATCCAAAGCTGATATATATATATATATATATATATATATATATATATATATATATATATATATATGCTTGAATTTAGTCTAATGTTGTATGCCATAACTGGGCCCACTTTTCTTCAGTTCAAAAACGATAGCCTATCCTCTTCACAGTCAACAGGAACGATGTGAGAGGACTTATTTTTGATAGTGTCAAGTCCCACTTCACATAATTCACAAGTACTCATCACTGAAATTAACCCTTTTATTTAGAGAAGACTGAAATTATAACCTAATATTTACATGTACCCAGTGGATAATAAAAAAGGTTGTTTTTTCAAAAGACACTGTAAACTAAGTCAAGTATTTATTTCACGGGGTGTAACTTTTTTACTGGTCCAATTTTTAGTACTGATGTAATACTCTTGAAACGAAGTTTGACAAACTTCATAGGCGTGATCCATATATATGTTGGTTTTCTGTGCTAAATGATAAACCATGCATGCTACCAAAGTCTACTGACATGCTTTTGCCTGTTTTAAAGAACAGTCACAAAAAGTGGATATTCATAGGACAAATACTCATTACTTCACCTCTTTTTATAAGCTTACGGTTAAAAAGTGTTATCAAATATCTAGTAACCCAATTTATTGGGTTTAGAGTTATGTAGTTTTATGTGATGAAACTGTAAATAACCTTATTTGTTGATACTTACGATTTTCCGTTGCCATACCACATCAAATTGATCGATATCTTTTGACAAATGGGCTCCCATGAAGATGCCTCGATACTACCTGTGGATCTATTATTTTACTATTTTCTTAGTTGTTAATCAATTCCAACCGGCACAACAATGGGGAAATAATAACAGCTGACACCCATGGCACAATAGATGGCTATCGTGCTTAAGTAGTCTAGTAGATAACGCTCTAGAGTTTGAAGTGATGGATGCCAGTGGGAACATCATCACTCACAAAGGTGGATGTATATCCAGCTGACAGGTCCCAAATAGGACAGAAGATGCTTCTTGGATTCCACTGTTAGCCACTACTAAGAAATTCGTACATAGCTTTCGTTGAAACAGATTTTTCATTTCATGTTGACAGAAAATTTAGCGATCCGGAAGTGCTAGATCGTCTACCAGCCGCATTCCTCATACTTGGTGGAATCTTGCTTACACTTCAAGTAGTTGGCTTTGGATTACTGCGTCCAAAACCTAAGGCGAACAGGTGAGCTGGTGTTTTTGTTCCAGTAACTCATATGTACTACATAATATGATTATAATCACTTACTAAATCAAATTTAAAGTGAGTAAAATTCTAATTTCGCTCTTAGCCAGTTTATACGATTTTTTTATTTGTGAAAATCCCATGCAAAAATTATGGAGTTTAATTCGGGATTCAGAAGCCCTGTGTCTTGCATCCACAAAGTAGTTATTTGAAGATGACATATAGTGTCTCTTCCTTTTGGTGGTCAGCTGATTATCATTCTATACGTATTATATTTTTATGCATGCTCAGTTTTGTTCCAAATTTATGTGTTCTAAAGACCTTTCAGTTTTATTAACAGAATGCTAAGTCAAATCAGTGCTTAGAAATAGATGATCCAAGTGTCAGCCCTAAAAGAGTGAACTCACTGGTGAGTTTGTTTCCTGATTTATATTTAAGCATTATGTTTAGCTATTTCATAACATGTGATTTAATATTGAGAAGTCTAATTGAAGTGTTCACCATATTGTTCGGTCACTTATGATTATTCTATATGAAAGATCCACTAACCCTTACATTCCTTACTTTATAGTTATTCATATATGCGATTGTCCTTATTAGAAAAGATTAAAACTTTCTAATGAATAGTTTACTGTACTGGTTGGATATCAGTGAGTTTTGTACTGGTAACCAAAAGCTGTCTAGGTTTTTGCTTGCAAATGTGCAACACTGAGCTTATTCATGTACATATACTAAAGAACTTTAATCATCAAACTTTTTAAAAATATAAGACGACAATTTCTTTCTGAAAATACTTAAAATATTTTTTGTTGAAGTAATGAACAGTGGCGAATAACAACCAGGACTCAAAGTCTGCCCATTTATTTTTCGCAGAGATCCGCTAGATGAACGTGTGTAGGACTTGATATATTTGTTGCAGGGACAATCGACAGAACTTTTAGGGTAAGAAAAAAAAGATATTTGCGTGGAACTATGTTTATCAATACATAGCAGCAAGATAGTCGCTGAAAGTTTGGACCTGAGACTGCTATGGTCTCTGTCAGAAAAATGCTTTATTTATATCGTCGAAGGTTCTAATGACCCTAGTATGCAAGTACAGAGGTGCTATTAGTTTCGTAAAAAGTACATATCTGCTTTGAAGAAAAGCATCACAGAGCACGAAATAAAACAAGAGGGCTTACTTTTGTCTGATTTAAAACAAGTAATAAGGTGTTGAAATGAAGTGTTTTGGCAACCTAAATAGATACACTGAAGTTACGATAAGTCGGAGATGTTGCTAAAAGATGGAGCGTTAATTTGGGGAACATCTGGCAATATTTTACTGTAAGAACTTACGAACCGATTGAAAGTGAAAAGCCGATAGTGTCAAACCATTTCACCTGAGCTGTTGGAAAGAAACACTGGAAACAATGAACTTACGTTCCTTACAATTCTTTTTTAACGTAGTGAAGTGTTTGCTTACACAAAGTTGTTTTTAACTTCGATTCATTTTAGAAACGCAATTTCCAAGTTACATTGAATACGTAAGTTACCACTGCTTTTCTTTGAAATGCTGTTAAGTGACTTATTTCTCACTTTATTTTTCACATTTATCTTTTATTAACTACTGTAAAGGCAGAATATATGACATTTTTAACAGAATGTGAGTGTATATACGTTAGTATGACTACTTTTTTAGACTGCCACAAATAATTTTAGCTCAAACTATGCAGTCAACGACTGGAAATTACAGGCAGTAACGTAAAAAAAATATACCTGTTGCCAAGGAGTGGCTATCATGACTCAGTAGCCTAGTGGATAGCTGTCAGGGGTTTGAAACGATCGATACTAAGTTTGAGCCTCGCCTGGAACAACACTCACTGGGGGGCAGGTACATCCAGTTCACTGGTTGCAAATATGAAGAAACTCTCTATGTGGATTCCACTGCCAGTCACTATCCATCAACACTATCGAACTGAAATCCCAAGCAGTATCAAGACATCCATACAGGAGCCCATCTACCAATAGTAACAGATCGGTTCATTCTAATCAACGATGAGAAATTACAAGCAGTGATATACAAGCTAACTACTTTATGAATACGCGTGATTAATTACCGACCGTCTGAATTGTACATTATATTTGCTTCATTAATGAACATAGCTCACTGAATTGTTTTATCATCGGAAAAGCCCTACACTTCTGTCGGCTGTATATGTGTATATTATCGAAGGAAGAATAATTTGCTTCTATCTCCGCTCATTTCAGTAACACTAAATGACATCATATCTCATCCACATTTTTACCACACTAAAAGTTGAGGAGTGACCCTAAGGGCTACCCTAACAACACCTGAAGTAGCCATTTAGTCCACTTTATTTTATGAAAATATCCCCTTCCAGCCGAAATAAATAAACCTAACTGGCTATTTCAGTAGTTACTAGGGTACACATTAGACTCGCCCAAAGTTCGGTTATATAGAGAAGGTAGATTTTAATCTAAGACAACACCGTCAGTTGTGTCAAATATTTTCCCAATCACTATATTTTCAAGAATGGAAAAGATTGAGTTTACTTTTAGGAGTAATTTCAGTCGTCTAAAGGTTCTTATAGAAGTACTTTATCTTCAGCGAAAGCGTCTTTTAAAAAGGTACAGCAAATTGCTTTTTGATAATGATAGAAGATGGTTTGCAAACTTTATTACGCTTTTTATAATTTCATTCATTTTATAGTCACTTCAAAAGACTTATAACTGATTACTGGTATGACGTTTTAAAAAAAATCTCTTAAATAACCGTGAGTAGCTGAATAACTGCTGATATAATATTCCCACTTAAATGTTTTCTAGTGAAGTCAATATCGGCCCAAAGCAAGTGTTTCGTTATATTGATTTCTACCTCTTATGGTTTATTATGTTTTGTGATATAATACCTATTACTATCATTACTTCCGCTTATAAGGTGAGTTAAATTTATAAATAGAACCATTGGTAATTTACTTGAAAGTGCCTTTTGTCACAGGTGTTTCAAAATACACCCACTTAAAAATGAATCAGTTAAAGATATATAGATTGCTGACAATGCCTAGACTTCCATTCAGAATACCAGGCTTGGGATCAGTGTAATGGGGATTCTCAAGTTTTAAAAAAACACCCACAACCCAGATATTATTTCAGTCACTGCCCATATATGGTATTAATTCATCACTTGGGATAACATAAATCCATGTTTATGATGACTACGAATGAGCTTGCTTCGTAAAAGTGGTATTGTTTTCTACAGGTTAAGTGACACGATCAAACGGTTGACTATGGATAACGTTTTTTGATTAACTTGGGGCTTCAATGATAGCCTGTGCGGATGTTAAAAAAGCAAGGAAGTTGCTAATATGTAAGATCGACTATCTTGAAATACACTCAATATATTCAGCATCCTTCTTCATATCGGCAGTTGGACGGGTGTATTATTTCCGGAATACTGAATGAAGTGATGTAATAAAATGTTGTACATATTCTTAAGCAATATATTAATATGAAGTGGCAGAGACGAAGTTTGAGTTGAACTCTTTAGCAATTTCCTTTTAACATGAACTTTTAGTTTATTATAAGCTAATTTTGCATCAATACATCAGGAGTATCAGGTTGTTCCAGGTTATGGTTTGTTTGCTTCTAAAATGAAAATGGCATCACAATTATTTTTATGAAGAAAAATAAAATACACGAAATAAGTCTTCAGTAAGTAAAAAGTGTGAAGGTACTCAGACACCTAATATCTCCAACACTATTGTACTTGTTATATTGCTTAATTCATCTTTCAATGTCATACAAAGCTCACAACATTAAAGAATGATGGTTTAGTGTACAAAGTTATGTGTTTTCACCAGAATTTCAAAAATCTGGTTATTAGAATAAATGCTAGTTAGATATCCTTCTTATTACGGTTTCGAATTACTTTTCAAGTTATATCTATTACGATAAACGTTTGCTGTAGATATAACCGGGAAAGTTTCAGATTATGGGAGCATAGATAAGTGTGAGTTAAACAAAAATCAGTTCATATTTCCACTTATTATTTGATCACCTTCTCTAGACTTTTTTTATTTTACCCTTAATTTTGTGATCGCTTCAGCTTTTTGGCCAGACATACATAAGTGATGACAGATTTTATCAGCTGTGGCTACAGCGTCTGCACTTATCAACTGTGGAGGACGTGTGATATGGGGAGCACTTGTTGATCGCATCTCGTTTAAGGTAATCAAAACTTTTCCATCTATTTGGAAAAATCTTTAACCCAGTTCTTAAGAAAAACATATCTGTTTTTCTAAATACTTAGAGTTTAATGCCATCTATATAAAGTTCATTTCGGAGATTTGCAAGGATTTATTGGTTTGTATAAATGTTTGACCAACTGAATTGTGTATCTAGCCAATACACATTGACATTAACGTGTTTAGGTTATTTTGAGACCATCAAGTGTTAAATGAATTCCCGGCGACTAGGCATTATCTTATTTAAAAGAATTATTGTGATTTAATTTGGATGTTTGTGGGGATTTATTGACTTCAAGTTGGCACTCATCGTGGATTGAAATCAGTTGGAGAACCATTGTTTCATACTAGTATTTAGCAGTGCATGCCGACGACCCCAGGGGTCGAACCTATGGCTTCCGGTTTTGCGGCTAGCAAATTTCATTGAGCCATTGGGTTGGAATCCAATGGGCTACATTTCACCACTTCTGTCAATTCGCCATACAGCGCGACTTTCATCCAACACCATCACTGAGTATCTGTCTTCACATCCTACTTGGTTTTGCCCCACTAGTGACGACTTCTCACTAGAACTTCAGAAAGTAATTATTTGTGGAATATAAGAATATTTGAATTACAGGTATTACATTTAGCGCCTTAAAAAATGGTGCATAAGAAACCTGATAGGTCAGTTAAAGATTTTGAAGTTTATACAGTCATCACATTTTAGAACCGAAGATAACTGTTACTTGGATATTTAATCGGCGATATTTCAAGTTATATTTTAGGGGGAAGTCGCTGATATCTAATTTTTATATTTTAAATTTATTACATAATTTCAGATACCCATGTGCACAGTGTTGCTTCTATGGTCTCTAATCTTGATAACATTCCCGCATATATCTTTACTAACTGGGACAACACTGAAGGTTTTCTATGCTTTATGGGTATTACTTTTATTTCTGTCACTAAGTAGTACATTTGTTATTCAACCTGCAGCAACTGGAGCTATTTTTGGTCCTGTTCACATGGCTGTTAACTATGGTTTAATATTTACTGCATTTGTAAGTGAACATTTTTCATTCCTTCTTTAGTTTGTGTGATGTGTTAGGTACATTTCAGTCATCGATATTTGTAAGCATATAGCGTAACATACTAGATTCTACATTTCCTTACCCATGTTCTCTCTCATCGTGATATATCGGTGTTATTTAAATTATTCATGACAAGAATTGCAAAATCTGGATTTAATTCATTATAAATATGTTTGTAATGAATATTTACACACTGGATTTAACTCTATTAGTCGTCAGATAAATCTGTAAGGAAGTTCCGAGTTAGTTTTCATTCTAGCTAGTGGCTTATGGATCCCCACTTAACCTTTCGACTTACACATATATGAAGATATACTGGTAAGTGTGTTTTATGCATTCATCTAGGTCAAAATATTGGCCTAAACAGGTTCATTTTGTACCAGTGTAACATAAGTGAGCCAGATAAAACAAACAACTGACTGGACCAGAAGTGAACTAGTCACTTCCGAAAAAAATATTCAAACGTGGATTTTACCTTTCAATACAATTATTTCTTATATTAGTATTATTTATCAGTAGATATTAGTCCAGAGCATTTCGGTATCCACAAAATCATACCTGTGTACTCAGAAAGCACACATTAGTGAATTGCAGACCCCACATTTGAGTTATAATAGGAACTACATATGATTCCTTGCTTGTAACATAAGAAAATGAATTTCAAAAGTTTCATCATCAGACACCTATGAAGGTGATTTTATACATACTATTTCTGATACTTTCATAAAACAAAAATTTCTTTAAAATCATCCAATTTAGTTTATCAATATATTGCTGAACACTAGTCAAAAGAAAACGAACTAATGTTGACAACTCAAATTAATATAAAAATTTATTTCAATAGCTGTGCTGACATTAATACTTACGTTATCGCTCATTACTAATCACTTTCATACTTGCATTCACTTATTTTTTCAAAGGCATTTGGAAGTTTATTGTGTGCACTTGTGACAACTTTTGTGAGTTCACATAATGCCTATCTCGTTCAGTTTACTGGCTGTGGATTCGTATGTTTGTTGGGTAAGCCTTAAAACAGTATTCTTTCATTGTGTTCTGATGACGTATTTTGAAATGATGGAAACAGTTTGTTGCTCAGGATGGGGATGATAGTGTTCTTAAAACTCATCATGAGCGGGAAATTTTTTCAATTATTTGAAAATCCTTTGAACACAAAGTGCTTATCTGCGCTAGGAAATGGGAGAACTTTGCCGGTCGGAGGGCTTCCACTGGATAGCAGCTTTTCTCCTTGTGCAAATGTTTGCGGCGGAACATTCAACCGCAAAGTGTTAAATACAGACCACCCAGATATGGGATTCTTTGTAACCATAGTATGTTTCAGGAAGGAAATTTCCAACTTTTCATCCTCGATTTCTAAATCAATTTTTTACTTTTTTGAGGATACTTGAAAGGAATGGTTTATACCTGCATTAGAATAACAGTTCGCACCGTTTGTCAAAAACTGAATTAACATGTCACAGGGAAATGAATTACTCATTTTCACGCTACTCATTACTTTAGTCGTCCTTCTTGTTTTAATATTTGAAGTGAACTTGAAAGTCTATATGTTTGTATAATTGAATTCAAGTGCTACGTCGTCACAATGTTTGGGTATCCCATCGAGTTTCACAATATACAGAAATAAAAACAACAACTTTTTCGCCAAATTAAGAGATTTAGAAAGTAATATCAGCCACATTCGTGATAGCCGGTCATTAACTTTTCTAAAAGGAGACCGTCAAACATTGAGTTCTGCAACAAATTTTAAGAACATGCCACCATTTGGCAAAATACTTCTTACTTAAATTACTTCAGATGGAGCAGCCATATTGTATTGCCATTCTTCTTATTGTGTTTTACGTGGACCAATGAGTGAAATCTGTACTGTACACAACTAAATTTCTATTATCGGCTAATTTGTAAAACTTAGTCAAGGTGTGAATTCTTTGACACTGGTGATCATTCTGCTTCTAACTTAGAAGCATCATAATCACAGGCTTAAATCTCTGCTAACACATTCAGTGGTCATGAAAGTTTACAATCACAGTCACTCAGTAGCAAATATCAGGGTAAAATATGTCTAGATAAAAACAGACAAAATTTAATCGCCTCACATTTATAAACTGGTAAAGGGTAATTTGTTATTTCAAAAAAAGTGTAATTATTTGTTGATGATAGTTATTGAAGCAGGTAGTAAAGATATCTTAGTCTAATCACAGATAAGTGACTATTAAAAAGTGCAATTAGTGAAAAATACTATGGTTATTTAAGAGAGGTGCATTTTTAAACACTACATACTAAAGCGTGTATATTCAATGAACAATACCATAAATAGCTAAAACCGAACATCAATGTAAGTTTGAATTATGACTCTTTTATCACGTATATGATTTGTATGTTCCTGAAGAATCATTGATTTAGGATTACTTTAATTTCTTGAACTTACATCTATGTTAATGTAAGATTTCGCGCTAAAACTTACTTTTCTTAAACCTAATTGCTATTAATTTCATTATTAAATGATCTGAGATGTGACTTTTAAGATTGTCTAATTACTTTTGAATATGAAACATCACGTTTAGTGTTACAGTTAATAAGTGAGTAGTTCATTTGATTGACGTTCGAGGTCCTGAATGTGAAATTCGTATCCTAATATTGAGCATAAATAAGAATATCTTTTCTTCTGTTAACATCCTTAACCCTAATCCAATACATACGTGCAATTAGTCTTAATAGCCAATGAAAGAACCAGTATTTAGAAGTGAAACTTTCTTTGTTAAACTATACACTCAACGTTATACCTTAGAAGTGAATTTTATATCAAGTGTTGCCCAAAGTAAGCGAATACATGGAATAGAAATTGGAAGTGGAACTGTAAGACGTTTTGCCGGATTGATATCTACATTATAAAAGTAAAGTGAAAACTATGAAAGTGAACCTGAAGTTAACATAATGCTTTTGAGACGGTACATAAGTGCACCTACTGCTTATCTACCACGTCACCTGTAGCACTGGGGAGATATCTGACTATCTAACATATAACGAGTATACTGTGCTTCAGTCCGTTCTGTCCTGTTATAAGGCTGTGAGATATGGGCGATAAAAGTAGAAGACATGAAACGATTACAGGGTTTTGGTCACATGTCTTCGTAGCATTGCTTGCATTTGATGGGATTACTGTGTGAACAATGTTGAGGTCAGGCGGAAAGTACTAGGCATGATAGGCAAGTCGATTGATGAGGTTGTGAACCATCACTGACTGAGTTGTCTTGAACATGTACTGTGTATGCTAAACCACCACCCACCTCGACATGCTATGCCAATGGCAGTTGGATTATGTTAGAAGGTTGTTCATGGTGGCTTGAATAAGACGTAAAGTCTCTTACAGATGGGTGTTCAGGAATGTGTAACAGTCTGCGGAAACAAGCGGACTGATAGGAAAATCTAACTCCCGTAAAGTGATTTTCTATTGTTCACATTAATAAAACATGAGCTATCTGAAGAACATGCAACTTGGTTTCCTGGCAGTTAGTTAGATAAATCTTAGAAAGTAGTTTTTGAAAGCGTTGTTTTGTCTGATGCTGTGTTATTTTAATCAAGTGTAGAAGTAGTTGATAGACTAATCATGGGAAGAAGAGTTATTGCTTTTTACTGGGTGTTTCACTTGGAATACAATAAGCACAAGATAAATGTACTCGAAATATTTTAATAAAGAAAAGAGGATAAAAAGCCCCTACGGTAGTAGTAAATTGGTAATTGACGCTTTTCGAACAGCCGAACCGTCACTATCCGGTGAGTTCAACGCTCTTCTGTCAGCGTGGCACTAAAGAACCTGATCATGCTGTTCTTTCCCACGAGACGTTTTTGAATTTCTAACCAACAGAATATATAAACGCCTAATATGATTCTAGCTTTACTTCCTAATCTTCTCTTTATCATATTCTTCACTGTCAACAGCCTTCTTCCTTGCTTTGTGGATTGACGATCGAAAGATGCCTACAAGTGTCAATTTGTGTCGATTTTGTTCAAATACCTGCAAAAGTTTAAGAGTCAGCGAGAATATACCTGCTTCTACCGAAGAATTAGCGAAACTTAATGAAAATAACATCAAAATTTGAACGTAACATTAAAAGGCAAACGCATGCAGGAAATGTGGCTTCTTTTAATGATCGGCTTTTTTCAGAAAAAACGCTCCCTTCTCGACAATCTTATATTGTTTTTTTGTGTTATTTCACCTGAAATTCGGGAAATAATTGTGGTATCGTGCAATCAGTTATCTTTTTCTCTTTAGATCTACCTTTGCTGTGGTGGACATACTTTTAAGATAAACTATGTTTTTCCATTGCTTTGTCAAAATGGGGTTGTACTTTTTGGCATAATATTGTTACATTCAGTGTTTTCTGCTTCTTCTTGATTTAAACGATTTGGCATTAGAGACCATTGTTTCTTGATATGCTCTTTTGCTACTGTTTGTCTTTTTCGAAGAATTATTCTACACAGCCTTCTTGGCTGATTCGATTTCATTTTCAATGGATCATTTCTCAATCTCATCACTGTGATGTTATATTGACTTTTTTATGTTAACTGTTAAAACTGTTATAGTATAACTTTGAAGACATCTAGTTATCCAGATGAGAGATTAATGTAATAACCAAGATAAATACTTATATGCAGTAAATTTGAAATTTTAATTGACAGAGGTGGTTATTGTAATCAAGAGCTAAGCGATAGTCTTCTAGCATTCAAAGTAGCTAGTACAATATTCGTTTTTATTACAAATGTAGGCTCTAGTTTACATGCCATGATGTTAGAATATAATGAAACGTAATGCCTGGATAACACCGACGAATGCCAGCAGATTACTATCAGAATTCCTACTTTTATGGCTTGAAGACTAGATTTGAAATGATGCAGTACATTATACCTAAAAGGTAAAAACCAGTGACTTAATATTTTAAGGAATTATACTCCTAAGATTCCAGTATGTTCTAGATAAGAGAGAATAATCCACTGATGAAACAGACTTTACAAAAAATTATATGACCAAGTTCAGAGATGGAAGGTATCGCTTTCGTATAATGTATTTATATAATTATGAGAAGTGTGACGAAGATGTTGGATATATTTTGCATTAGTGTTGGAATAAAATGTATCATAAGTTTCGGATAAATGCACCAGTTAATTGGAGGAGAATTCTTTTGTACTTGCTGGTCCAAATATAACGCTTATCATGAAGAAACATATGGTGAAAAGCCTTCATAAAGACATAATTGAACTTCGGATTTATCGTCTCTTTGAGGTGTTCCCATAGAATGACATAATTCAAGAGATTTAGCCTATAGAGGGTTTGTAAGATTAAATAGAATGAGTAAAGTGGCTTACATATAATTTTCAAGGTGTCGTACTTCCACATATTCTTTCTATTGATAGAAGATGTGGGAGCTGATGTCGCCTAAGGCTCATTAAAAACGAACTAGTACATAAGATATTCCCACAAAGATCATTGGTGATGTAATAAGTCAAATGGTAGCTAACACAGCAGTTCAAAATACGAAATTTGGATTACTCGGAACTGATAAACTAGGTACTCTTACCATTGTGTAATCGTAAGCTCAGTGACTTCTGAAGCCACCGGTCATCACTGAGAACGCTATAGAGTTACTCAATGTTCTACTGAATTATGATGCCATTTACTTTCGTTCAATATAGTTGCCAACGTAAAGGGTTTAAGTCTCAACAATGGGTGGGTGGTAGTCCACATTGCTTGTTAGCATTCTGGATGACACCTAGGTGTTGGATGCCACAGGTAACTGATTCAATTTTTAAAAAACCATTACATGCAGGAACACTCGGATGGTGAGTTTCAGACAATCTGAAACCGATTGTCTAAGTTTTGCTACTAGCTTCTGCAAAATAATTGAGCAATGCAAGGTTGTGTACCACAGTTAGTTTCGGTTAGTGTGGCACTGTATTAAGTCTAGTCATAACGAGAATACTCATATAGGAAGTGCTACTGAAGTAAAATGAATAGATGGTGAATCTTTTGCAGCAAAAATCGGGGCTCATAAAGAACGTAGATACTGTGATGACGTTGAAAACAAGCAAGTCCTTGATAAAATAAATGGCAGCAATACCAATTAACGTTTATCTAACCAGTTTTATCCATATCAAAGTTTATTTAAATAATCTAGATTCATAAACAATGCTTTCATTGAAGCCAGCTGAGTGATCGGTTCGCCATTTCTTCCTTGGTGACCAAGAATCGTCTATGTAAATAAATAAGTAGAACATTCTTCACAGCAAGACCTCGATTGATTTTCAACAGCTGAAAACTATCCTTTGTTTTCGTCAGACATAAGCCACCGTATCTGGTCGCCTGTATATGCATCTACCAGTTCACCTGGTCTCGTGCAGCAATGAATATCGGCCGTACCCACAGAATGCTTTCCATACGTTAGGAGCGTTCCAGCTTGGTTTTATAAAGGTGAAAAGAAGTGCGCTAGAATGTTTTTCCTAGAATATTTGCTTGATTTTCTCAATTGAAGAACCCAGAAAATGACTTTGAAATTGTTTATCACATCCGCCCAAACCTCCCACGTTTTCTTCTTTTCCAACTCCTTCAAAGACCAGAGGCTACTCACTAACTGAAGTCTGATCACTGTGTGTATAAAAGCATTTCGTCATTTATTTTACCACTTCTACTAGATTTTCCTTCTTTGTTAAATTAATCTTTGTATCCTGCCTTTACCTTGAATAGTTTCTGGTGTTATTTCACTAAAATGCTTTATTCGTTTCAGAAAGCGCTGATTTTATTTCGATTCAATTCCTCTGGCCCTATGGCATATTATTATTTGTCCCTTGGGTTCCCAGTGGAACATAGGGCTACAGTGGCTTGTTGCCGTTTCACTCTCTTCTCTGCACTTTATTGAAGCTAGCCCCAGGACTACCCAAAAGCCTTCACTTCTTCTTCGCATGATCTCCTCCATATCACCCTCGAATGCCCAAGTCGTCGCATCTCACTTGGGTTTCTTTCGTGCATGATGTCCCCAACCGGTTTTCTCAGTGTATGCCCAATCCAATCCATCTCCACACTATTCTTCATATTTGTCGGGTGATAGGTTGTTGGTTAGTTAGTTGCCAGCCAGCCAGAGTTCCTTGTTGCTTATTCCTATTATTCTGGCCATCTGATCTTCAGTATGGAGTGAGCGTAGGCGGTAGCTGTTGATGTGTGTCTGTAGTTTGTTGGAAATGCTTTTTGTAACGCTCCAAGTCTCTCAACCATCACATAGAAGCACTGACTTACTTGACTGAATTAGTGTTGAAAATCGGGATCTCGTTCACGCTTTATGCTGAGTGCAGTAGATCTCCACACTGGTTTCAGATTAATGAACGCCTGTCCTGCTTTTCCGACCTTGGCTTTGACATCCTCATCTGTGCCGCTGCCTGTAGTTGAAGCGACGCTGCCTAGCTATGTAGGTGAAACAGACTGCTTACTTCAGATTTTTCCCGTTGATGGCGATTGGTGCTTGCTGTTGTTGTTGGTTGGGTATCGTCATCACAGATGTCTTCGGTACGTTCACCTGAAGGAAGTCCCGTCTTCGCTGCCTTGTCTCTTCTGCTAACTTGTTGGTTTTGGCCTGTAGATCTTCCGGTTTGTGCCACATAAGTCATCGTCGGCGAAATCCAAATCTCCTTCTGGGGTCTTCTCATCGGTCCAACCAGCTTATGCCCCCCTTTTCACTCCTCACAGTTTCTTGCATGATCACAATCAGTCGACCACCATCAGGAAGATGATCGGCGATAATAGGCGGCAGCCTTGTCTTACTCCTGCCTTCACTTCAAAGGCGCAGTTGAGCCTTTCACTGTGAATCACTTGGCATGTAACATCGTATAGCATATAGCTGACGTTAAATGAGGTTGATGAAGGTTTGTGGCACTGAAACTGTAGTGTTGAAGCAGTTGCCAAATTACTCCTCGGTCGACGCTGTCGAAGGCCTTTTCAAAATCAGTGAAGTTGAGGTAGAGAGTTGACCGCCATTCTATGCTCTGTTCTTTGATGATACGTAGTGTATCGTTGCAATTTTATCGGCACATGATTTGTCCTTTCTGAAGCCAGCCTGTCCTACTACATAACACTTTGTTTATTTACCCCTTCCACCAATTTCACACCCCTCTTGGAGTTTTATACGTTCTGTGGACCATTTTGTATATTACACAATCTATTCATGATAGGGAGAATAGTGGTGTAATGTGTCGACGACCTCACTTGTTTGGGGAGTTTCACCAGGACGAACGGGCTAGTCACTGATAAAATTCCAGCTCGGATACGGAAGTCCTGTTTGGAGTTTGCCAAATTGCGTCACTTGTGACGCTGGGGAGATATCTGACTATCTAACATATAACGAGTATACTGTGCTTCAGTCCGTTCTGTCCTGTTATAAGGCTGTGAGATATGGGCGATAAAAGTAGAAGACATGAAACGATTACAGGGTTTTGGTCACATGTCTTCGTAGCATTGCTTGCATTTGATGGGATTACTGTGTGAACAATGTTGAGGTCAGGCGGAAAGTACTAGGCATGATAGGCAAGTCGATTGATGAGGTTGTGAACCATCACTGACTGAGTTGTCTTGAACATGTACTGTGTATGCTAAACCACCACCCACCTCGACATGCTATGCCAATGGCAGTTGGATTATGTTAGAAGGTTGTTCATGGTGACCATAATAAGTTGTATCACCAGTTGATGAGGTCTCTTGCTGATGGTCTGAATTTTGTGTTGAAATGTAAACTGACTAGTTGGTGTCCCCGAGACGAAATGAATTAGTGAAAGAGGACTCCTGGTGACGTGACTGTAAATCCGTCACAATAGCGCAGGTATATTCACGCCCTGACGCCTTGTAAAGCTTGAGTACTCTTACTATTCACTATCTTCAGATTGTTTTTTCGCTCACAACTTTGTCTAGTTTGACATCACTCACTTCTATCCAGCTGTTCTTTGTATACCACTGTGAATTGTGGCAGCTTGAGCTGATACACATGTGTTCGAGGATCTACGTTGATTTTGTCTATGTCAGATATTCATAATCTACTTTGTTATCATCCTTACTTCACCTGTT